CCCCAAAACCCCAAAACCCCAAAACCCCAAAACCCCTCAGTTACTATAAGTAAATTCAAGTATATCATGTTAAATAAATGCTGTTTATTAATATTAAAATCTGAGTAAGCTAAGTTGCACAATGTTTATCGCATCACTAAATTGGTAGGAGAAATTTCAATCTTACCATTTGGTTCTCTTTCCTTCGACCCATTCTCCTTTTCTTTCCTCACCTTTTGCATTTCTATATATTCCTTCACCATGCTGCTTTCCTCTAAGCCATTAACCTTCATATTCTCTCCCATCCTTCCATTTAAATTTACCATGACCATGTCTTTTGTCTTCAACAAATTCTCCTGTGTATTCCTTTCCATCAGGCCAAATTAAGTGTCCTTTTCCATGCATCTTATTATTGATCCATTCCCCTTGATACCTCTTTCCGTCACTCCATTAATATGTCCCTTAACCGCAAATTTCATTCATCTAAAAGTACCCATCATAAACAGAACCATCAGCAAAAGTAAGCTTTCCTTTTCCATTTTTTTTACCCTCATGATAATTTCCCTCATAAATTGCCCCATCTGGCCAAGTCTCGATACCTAATCCATGCTACTTATCATCTTTCCAGTCTCCTTGATATTTAGCTCCATTTGCATGCATATAATTTCCTTTTCCGTTTGCTTTGTCGTCTTTCCATTCTCCCTCATATATATCCCCGTCTGCATGAATCAGTTTACCAAGTCCGTTAGCCTTATCAGTAAGCCAGTAACCTTCATATCTAGATCCATCAGGCCACTCTTGCTTGCCATATCCATCTCTGACTTCATTTTTCCATTCTCCTTCATATATAGCTCCGGTTGGCAAAGTTTATGGAGGCTTTCTTATTCTTTATTCACTATGCTCGTAGAAGCCTCCAGCGTGATTTTGATCAGGTGATCTATTTTAGTTTGAATTTTCATAGCCCACCTCGAATTGATTGCTTTAATTCAGCTGCTAATTACCATAAGCATCCATACTACTACCCTGAAGATTTTAATTTGCTGCTAATGCCTTTTTCATGTTATCCTTATCAACTTTTTTAATTGCGTTCTGATCTTCTCCTACGCATGAACCAAACACTCCTGTGCAGTTGCCCATTTTACGATTTATTATTTTATTATTAATTTTAAATCAATTCAAAATGTATCAACTCATGTAAGAATCTCTTTCTAATTAAGTAAAGAGGCGATAGCTTTATTGATATCTTGGATTTTTATTACTAGATTTATGTTTTTTAGCATTGTTTCTGTATTTCTTGCTAGGAGTGGAAGTTAATTCAAAATGTTATGCTTCATCAGATGAAACAGTACCTACATCTAATAAGGATGACTTGACAGACGTATCAATTACATTCAAAATTTTGCTGATTGCATTAATAGTCTCAACTGGGTTGGACTTTATTTATGAAATCACTGCAATCATTAAGCTATATAAAAAACGAATTTCTAAATTTAAGAAATTGTTGAAGTTAAAGGATATTCTCAACCTAGGAATAATTATATGCATGCATATTTTCAGGCTAGGACACGAGGGTCAAGTATGTTCAGGGGATTATTTAATAAACGGAGATACTTCCCCATCTCCTTAAGAGTACGGAAACTATCTCATCTATAGAGGAAAGTTATTCATGTATCTTTTATATGGAATATGGGGGATTTTCATGCTCTTTATATTAGCGATTATTATATACATAATCTACAAACTATCAATATAGAAAGGGTAAATTTAAGAGAGATCTTAATACGCCTTATTACAGCAATAATAATTACATTGAATTTAATTTTAATTTAATTAAAATCCTTAAATAAAATGGTAATTACCTTAATCTTTGTTTAATTACTCTTATATCTTACTATAGTAATTGTTTTTCGATCACTTTTCAATTGAAGATCAAGAGAAAGCTCATAAAAATAAAAACCACTTCTATAAACTTAAAAAGCAGTTTCCTGACTAGAATCATCATTACAATAAAAATATCAAGATCATTGGGGGTTTCGATTTAAATGAGGAAAGATTTGACTCTGATTATAAAAAGCATTTCGTAATGCAATGGGAAGACTATAAGAAAAAGAATCAGCCATATTATCAAACAGCATTAGCAGCTAAATAGCATTAATAATACATGGAAATGGTACATGGGAAGAAAAGAATCGAAAGAAATAAAAGTATGATAGATAGAACTAAATCAAGAGCTAATAGTGTGATATCAGAAAATTTTAACTCAGTCGTAAAGAATTCAACTCGAAATAACCATTCAGGTTTAAAATTAAATTAAACTGCAGTAATAAACAACAAAAACTCAACAATTGATTTACTGTAGTAGTATGATAACCAAAAGCATGATAATGCTCTTGTAATAGGAGAAGTTAATGTCATTCCTCAGAAAATGTAGGAGGTAAAACTCATTTAAGATTATAGAAAAAATAATACTATAGATTAAACAGAATCGCCTTAAAAGTATATAAAAATGGATTAGAGATACAATTAGTCTATTAGCCCTTAAAGGAATGAAAATAGCAGTGATAGAATACTGCCGTAACTAGAGAGGAGCATGATAAACTTATAGTAGCAACATAATAATTAAACAATAGATCTTACTCCTATAAAGCTGAATTAATAAATGCCATCAAATCTTAACCTCAGAAAAGATTCATTGCCGAATTTGGGGAAGCAAAGATATTTATAAAAGCTATTCGATGAGTCATACGGCCCAAGTATCAAGCCCTCATACGAGTAGTACAGAAAAGATCCTAAGATGTATCAAAAAGAACAATCAATTAGTGCATATCAGAGTAATGGTCAATCAAAAACTTTAATAAATGATGCTTCAGTGTAGGGTATAGAATAGATAAAATACTACAAGAGACTTGACGAACAAATAGAAAGACAAAAAAGAATTTTTGAGAAGCATTCTTCGACAATTTCATCTAATCAGATTATTATGGAGAAGAAGAAAATAGATGATGCTTTTACTTTGAATTTTAAGTCAAGCAATTAATATGAAGGTGGTGCGACTTCCTCTCTATATGGAATGACAAAGAATAATGTATCTACGGCAGCTATTTCTAAATATGAAATCTAAAGTCAATATAAAGACCTTATAGATCAATATAAGAAAACTTCAACTGATTAAAAGAAAAGGTATAACAGTGTACTTAAAGATAATAGTTCTAGGAGAATGCTAGAGAGTCCAGGTCTGTCTATTGGTCACGGTCTAAATAATGATAAATCCTAATTGTTTCAAACAATATATCTCTGAAATTTATATTCATAGTTTTTAATTTCAGCTTAATTAAACAAAGTCTGTAAAATTCTATTGAATTGTATTTTTGCCTTAGGGGTTTTGGGGTTTTGGGGTTTTGGGG